ACAGCTCAAGCCAATAAGACAAAGAACAGGAAATGTGATCATGGGAGGAGGTATGGGTAAGGGTGGTGGGGGGAGCAGAGTGGCAAAAGTGGCCAAAAGGGGCTGACTCTAATGGTCTTAGGTGTTGGATTTAGTAGCCAATGACTTTAAAACAGCTATAAATGCATTCAACCAATTAAACTATGTTCAAAGAATTAAAGGAAAAAATGGTCTTAATGAATAATAGAGAATCTCAACAGAGAAACAGAAACTTAAAAATGGAAATTCTAAAACTGAAAACTATATTAAACTGAGATGACAAATTTACTAAATGGGCTCAATAGCAGATTGGAAATGACAAGAGGAAGAGTAAGTGAACTTGAAGGTAGACCCATAGAAATGACCCAGTCCTGAGAAAGAAAAAAGGTGTAGACAAACAGCGCCCGGGACACCTGAAGGACCACCTTAGGGGGCCAGCATGCAGAACCCCAGTTCTGCCTGTGTATCCACTTGTGGTCAGGGAGGGATGGCAACATGTCAGAGCTGCAATCTGCCAGGAATGAGTGTGAAGGGTTTAACTCTATCGAGAGCACAGTTCTTGATTTGGGTTTTTATTTTTTAAAATCTTTATTGTTGAAAATATTACATATGTCCCTCTTTTCCCCCATTGACCCCCTCTAGCCTGCCCCTGCCCCTCACCCCAGGCCTATTCACCCTGTTGTTTGTGTCCATGGGTTATGCATATATGCACACAAGTTCTGTGGTTGATCTATTTCCATCCACCCTCCCTTCCCTGCAATCCCTCTGAGGTTGGACAGACTGTTCTATGCTTCTATGTCTCTGGATCTATTTTGTTCTTCAATTTATTTTGTTCATTAGATTCCACAGATTTGTGTTTTTTTACATTTTTACTTACTTCCTGAAGTTCGTGTGAAACTAAATACCATTGAAAGACTTCTAAGAAGATAAACTCCACCCCCAACCCTCACTCATCTCTGATTCCCCACTACCAATTATCTATATATATAAAAGCCTAAGTGACCGAATGACCAAACAACTGGTTGGCCAGTCACTATGATGTCACACTGACCACCAGGGGGCAGACACTCTATGCAGGAGCTGCCCCCTGGTGGTCAGTGCACTCCCACAGCCAACCTCTTGTGGCCGGCCAACCTCCTGCGGGCCCTCCCCGGGCCAGCCAACCTCCCTTGGCCCCCACCAGCCGGCCCCCATTGGCCTTGATCACCGGCCAGGCCGAGTGACCCCACCCATGCACAAATTTGTTTCAAACATAATTGTCAGCAAGAGCGCCCACTCCATCCACCCCATTCCACCTTTTGATGGATAGTGTATGGAACCCTGGAGACCCCTTCCTGCCTTCTCCTCACCTTAATTCCCTCCGTGGAACTCTTCCCCACCTTTCTAATATTCAGTATAGAATTTCTTTGTTTTTCCAAAGTGGGTGTAGTTGTACATTGTTTTAAGATACGTAAAAATAATACACACTCCATGCAAAGAAGACACAAAGAAGGGATGAAAACAAAATCACCTGCCATCCAGCCACTCACAGCGTTTCAGTTGCCTTACCAGGAGCCCTTTCCCCTGATATTCACATGCCTGTGCTGAAATGCAGATTTGTTTGCATCTATGGAATCATCTGCCTCATTTTATAACCTGATTTTTAAATCAACCAAAATGTGGTTTCTTTCCACATCAATGAATATAGACCAAGAGCTCACTTTCAGTACTCAGCAGAGAAAGCTGAATCCCAAGCCAGGGCAGCAGGGGGGTGGGAGGGTGGTGCCTGGGAGAATGGTGTATTTGGGGAGGGGCAACAAAAAGAAACAGACTCACCTTAGAGGTGTGGGGGGCGTGCAGGTGCTTGCAGCAGGAGGGACCTCGGCCCTCCTCTGCCACCTGCCACCTGCCACCTGCCACTCCAGCCGCGTCTTTCTCCACCCCAGAGGCCCCTGGTCTTTAGACACCCTCGGTTAGTGAGAGAAAGCTAAACATTTTAAGAAGACTAACTGCACGTCTTCACTACAAAGAAGCAAAGTGGCCTGAACGTTGTGAAGAGCCTAAGTTAGTAAACGACAAGGTGTGATTACTAAAGTCGACTGAGTTTTTCCATTTCTCCTAACTTCACAAGCTCAGACCAAAAGGCATCCAGTTAGAGGACATCTCTCTGTCACCTTTTGAAGTTTACTTGCTTGACGGTCCGGAGAAGCTCAGCTGTTATCGATCCGGGAGGGCAGCTGGAGGATGGGGGGCTCTGTGAGCCCTTCATCACTCAGGGGCCTCTTTATGCCGGCGAGGTCACCCTGTTCTGGGCGATCTGCGGACTCGGGCTTCCTCTCTGTCTCTCTCATCTCCCTGGAATCTTGTTCTGTCCTGGAGCCAGGTCCTCTGCTCTGGGCCTTTCCACACTCAACCTTCCAGATTTTTCCTCTCTTCTTTAGAAGCTCCTCCTCCCTCTAGCCCGAGCTTTTGTGATGCCTCTGGTTTCCTGAGTAAGAAACTTCCTGTCCCGCCCGCTGGGCCTCACTCCCTTCCCCACTGGGTGGTGGGGAGACAGGTGGTTCCTCAGCTTAAACTCTGAGCTAGGCACCCCACGCGTTGCAGGCAGATCTGCCCCTCGGTGGCATTCATGCTCCTGTCCGTGTGTCTGGGCTGCCGTCACCCCCTCAAATACCCTTCTTTTCCCTCTAATTTTCCCTCTAAACCCAGCTCATTGTGGAAGGGTCTGTTTATGCCCCACCTTCCTCGCATGTCTGACTGGCTGGGCACCCAGGCCATTTCTTCCTCTGAAGCCTTCTTGTATTTGCAGTCAATCCCATTCACTTTAGATCTCGATGGCTCTTCCCTCGCTTCATATCAGTTGACCTCGACTCACTTGACCATGGATCAGCTCCTCAGGGAGGTGGAAACCAGGCACGCACTCACTGGCGTTCCCAGCCTTGTCTGCATCGCCATGCCAACCACGCCAGTGGGAGCCCCTGGAAATACCTGCAGATGCGCTTCTGTGCCTGCAGCTCATCGGATGCTTCTTGCCTACCCTCAAAGCACTCATTGTTGGTATTAAGTCACCCAAATAATGCCCTCAGATCACGGTAAAGATGCTTTTATTGTGCCTGGAACCTGTAATGACACCCTTTCCTCTCATGGAGACCCAGCCCAGATCATTTTCTCTAGGGTTATAATCGTTTTTAACCGTTATTAGGCTCCGTTATGGTGTCTTCTTGTCGATTTGAACCTGCCCGTGGAGGCCAACAGGACATTGTTTTGGCCAGTGACCAATGTAGCCGGGGCACCCCGCACCCCAGGGTCAGGCTGAAGGCGTAAGTGTTGCTGTTAACATTGATGGAGAGTGTAATGGCTGCTGATTTTGACCTAAGAGCTGATTAGAAATGGTTGCGTTTACAACTCATTCTTAAAAAATCACAACTCAGGCACATAGATCGCGTCGGAGTCTTCCCTTCTCCCTCAACAGTACAAATAGCGCTGAGCGGGACTTCTCCTGGCCGCCGCGGAGCAATAGGTGCTGTTCTAAGCTCAGAAGCTCTGCCGTGCATTCATTCAAAAGGCGAAACCAGACGACGGTGCAAAGGCAGCTGCCAGGCCTCGGGGCCCTTTCCCCGGGGTTTCAGGAGCAGACAGGTCCCCTCCTGAGTGTCCAAGTCTTTCGAATACCTGCGCTTTCCCACCTTATTTATTCCCTTGATCTGTGCATAAGGAAGACATTCCACTGCCCCGGTGTAAAGGCTCGTGTAGAACCAAAACTGTAAGGCATGTCTAAGGGGACGTGGCCCTGGCATTTATCGTTACGACTCAAATTCACGTTCCGCCCGTTTGGATTCTAACAGCCAGGAAGCGCTAAAGAAAGCTCTTGGTTGCAAACCCTCTGAAGTGTCCGATTTGGCTAGAGCTGTGCTTTCTGCACGACAAGCCATGTGATCCCTCCAGTTACAGACACAGTCGTCGGAGGGTTTGATCGGATTGGCTTTCTGCTCACACCACGGGGAGTGGTTGGCTGTGTGTACAGATGACCAGGGGGCAATGAAGACCAGCATGGGTGCGCGTGGGTTTATGCGAAGTTAAAAATAACTTTTGAAATCCTGGCATGTGTACCCTGGGAAAAAGAGGCCTCGCTTGTTCTAGAGAGATCGCCTCAGGGAAAAGACACGGCATTTGTGGCTTTGACTCAGACGTGGGTACATCTGACAAGAGGTGTCCTCAGTCTCCCTGGGGACCACAGGTTCCGAGCGCTTCGTTTCAGGAAAAGGGCCTGAGCCGAGGGTGCTTGTTGGCTTCGGGGTCTGCTGGCCCCTCCGTGAGCAGGAAAGACGCTGCCAACCGGAGCGGTGGTGACAGCAGGCAGTGAGCCCAGAGCGGGCAGGAGGCACCGGCCCAACGAGAGTCACATACACGCCTCTGAGCCCTGTGACTTCAGGGCTCGCTCCCTCTGGACACGTGTGTGAGTGTGTGCGTGCGCATGTGTGTGCTTTTCCTTACCGGTACGTCAGTTAGTGTTGTACTCTGAAGAGATGGCTGGCTCCCAGCCACGGAACCAGAAGCCAGGCTAGGTGTCTGAGCAGGAGGGGATTTAATGGAAGGGTTTGCGCTGCAGCCGTTTGGAAGGGCTGGAGAGCAAGGAGCGGAGGACAGGAAGGGCAGCTCTCACCGCGGCTCCACCGGCCACCGCGTTCCAGAGCCTGTGGCCCCTCATCCCTGACCTGGGGAGCGGGGAGTAGGACCTGGGAGGAGGGGGTAAAGGGGGGAATGGGAGATATCTGTAATACTATCAACAAAAAATATATATTTAAAAAGAAATTACACCCTTGGCAGTTATTGCGACTGACAGAAAGTATTTATAAATCAATGTAAAAGTTGCATGTGATCAATGTTTAAATTTTATTTAAGGGGCATATGAGCACACGTATTTGAAGATCACGGGCCTATGGCAAGATGAGGTCGGGTTTTGAGGCTAAGCGTAGCCACCGTCTCCTGTGTGTTTCCTTGTTCTCCAGTTTGACCTGGTGTGTGTCAATGCTTGGATGCTGGACCTCACACAAGCCATCCTGAACCTGGGCTTCCTGGCCGGAGCCTTCACCTTGGGCTACGCAGCGGACAGGTAGGCCGCAGGGCGACAGCCACTTCACGTCACTGTCCCAGCGGGGTGTGCGGGGATGGAATGTCAGCTGTTAGAAAAGCATTCTTCCTAAGTGCAGAGGCCATGTTCATTCCTCTCCTCACGGCAGCCTTTTCTTCTTAAGCCGTGTGTCCTTTCTCCTCGAGCTGCACGGTGGGGGGCTGCTCTGTGGGCGGAGAGCATCCGGTGGGCCCAGCCCAGCGAGGCAGGGGCTGCACGCGGGCTGGCGGGCGCTGCTGCCGCCTCGGAGCCAAGTCTCTGGCTTCCCCAACTCCCTGGCGCTGGATTCATTTAGTCGTAGGTCAGCCCCTCCAGGTTTGTTTCATTTAATTAAAAAGGAGACCTGCATTTTAGTTACAGATTCCACGCTCTGCAGAGAGAAGGTTTTCAAAACTCCTCAGGGAGTTGTATCTGCCGTTTAGCATCCGCGAGTGGCCCAGGTAGTGGCAGGTGCAGTGCATGCCCGTGTCTAAGATGGTCACGCTTTCCCTTCAGATACTTCCGTGTGCCACACTGTGGGTGTTGGCTGTTGTGTTCACGTCTGGCTATTCCTTTATTCCAGTTCTGACTATGGAAATGCTTGTAGCAATTTAATCTCACTCTCTAGACCCCTCAGCACAGGGATAGGGAGCTTTGGCCCTTGACTTATATGGCTTTCCATTGCTCCGGGCACTCCAGCCCGGCCTGGGTGGGTCCTTGTGACCATGTTTGCAGTGGGCAGTGCTAAGGGTACCCCAGAGACCTGCCCACAGCAACGAATGCGCTAACTCAAGACAACAGAGCACCCCACAGCCTGTCGCCAGTGTCGACCTGAGTGTGAGCAGCCCAGGACTGCAGAACGGTAGCGCTTTGGTCTTGTCCTTGCCCTTCGTCCGCTCTGAGGCTCCTGTTGCTGTCCCCCACGACCCGCTTCTGCCCGCGCCTCTCTCCTTGGTCCTCTGTGTCTGGGGCTCTTTCCCGGGTTTTACGTGTCTTCTTCTGCTGTTTCTACTTCTAGCCCTTTCACTCCATCTTTCCTTTTCCAATCTCCCCAGGTAGCGCTCTCTCTCCTGGCTGCCTGCGATTAGGGATTGAGTGACATCTTTTCGGATGCATTGATTTAATTGTGTTGCTGCTCTTCTGAAGCTAAACATTGGCTTTTGCTTCTTTTGTGTGTTTTTCTGGCACCACCCATTAGCATGTCTTCACACTGAGGGAACTGGTGATGGTCGGTGTTATAGTGGGCCCTGCGGTGTTAGGAGGAGACATGCGTTTTGGTCCTGGGGAGACGACAGACCCATGAATACTTCTGCCTCACCACATGGCCAACCATCTTTTAGCTCCTTCTCCTCTTTGTAGCCTTGAAGGAAAGGGTACGAAACAAGATAACAGGCCACACCACTGCAGGAGGGGCGGAGAGTGAATTTAAAAACGAGGCTACTTCTGTCTCTGCTCCGCTGACTGAAGCAAGATGCTCTACCTGTGAACTTGGTGGGAAGTGCCAGGGAAAATGTTATCAGGTCAAATCTCTTAAAGGCCGCTGGTTGCAAATTTTCACAGCCAATAATTCAGCACAACTCCACGGAACCATTCAGCATCAGACTGGCAGGTTTTTGGGTACACAATACCCTGTTCCCTTTTCCTAAACTACATAATCATATTGTGTAAATGGTGAAAATAAAATACGAAAGTCAGCTCACATTGTTTGAACTTTATAAAGAACTTTCACTGTAGAAAAGTAAAAAAACTAACAAAAACACAGAAGCCAGCAAACCGAGTCTTGGTGCACTGAGGAAACTTACCCCAGACCCTGTCCCCGCCTCTTTCAGGGGCGCATACCCTGGCCGTCCTCCCTCGCGGAGCAGATGTCTGAGGCGATCCCGTCCTCTCCCTCTCCGCAAACAGGTACGGCCGAATCGTCGTTTACCTGATATCCTGTTTCGGTGTTGGCGTCACCGGCGTGGTGGTGGCGTTCGCACCAAACTTCCCTGTGTTCGTGGTCTTCCGTTTCCTACAAGGCGTGTTTGCAAAGGGGACATGGATGACCTGCTATGTGATTGGTAAGTCATGCCGCGCCCCTGCCTGCCTGGGAAGAGGGCTGGGTGGGGAGCCCTGTGGGGCTGGTCGGCCTTCCTGTGCACGGAGGGTGGCCCCGTGCTGCAGGTCACTGTTCCCACAAACAGCAGGGTGCAGGGCGAGACGCTGCCTCTCTAGGAACTGCAGTGCGACCTGACTTTGGGAACCAAATATGGAATGTCATGCAATACTGGGGTGACCACTTTTTGAATCATAATTCTCCCGGGAATTGCCTACTTCACCCCCATACTGTTATCACAGGATTTTTTTGGCTTTGCTTTATTAGAGATTAATTTTTATTAAAATTTCAGTCGTTCCTTGAAACATTTCTGAAGAATGCTCTGTGTGTCTCTGTGGTAGAGTTCGAGATGACACTCCTGTGTTCTGTTCCTTCCGCATAAGTGGAGAGCGTGGCGGCACACCCGGAGTGTGGCCTGAACGCGAGGAGCCTTCTAGTTAGGGGACCTTTGCTCTCTTCCTGAACTAGAGAGTGTGACCTTCTGGGAATGAGAGAGAGGACACGTTCCCTCGCTCTTTGCTCATGTTACTGGGAAAGTCCTGGCCGCTGCCTTTGGCTGTTTCCGGTGGTGTCTGGATGGGTGCCCTTCTCTGCGGGCCACGGTGGATGTGTGACCAGGGAGATCTGATGATCCCGCTCCCTCCTGTTATGCTAGGCAGTTCATCCCCAAGCAGCGCCCCTTTGGAGGCCCCTGAAGGTCTTTCAATGGACGAGAAAGGAGAGAGTGTTCGGAGGGTTGCCTGTTGCTGCCTGGGGCGGAAGGGATAACTTTGAAATATGAAGCGTTTTTAAGGAGACCCAAGTCTAGTGAATGTTCAAAGTTGTGGTGTTAGGGCAAGAAGGAGGAAGCGTAGCCTGGGATGATCCGAATAGACTTGGCCGCAGATAGAGATCGATTGGGAAGGGGGCAGGGGTGGGGAGGCGATGTGTGTGTGTCAGTCTTCACCCAAGGATATTTTCTTCATTGATTTTTTGAGAGAGTGGAAGGGAAGGAGAGAGACACAGAGAGAAACACTGATGTGAGAGAGAAGAGACATACCGATTGATTGTGCCCCTCATGTGCCCCGACTGGGGCTGGGGATAAAACCCGCAACCGAGGTACATGTGCCCTTGACCCGAATTGAACTGCGACCCTTCAGTCTGCAGGCCGACGCTCTCACCGCTGAGCAAACTGGCCAGGACCCACCACTCCCCATCCCCAGTGATTTTTAAAGATATATCACCATGTGAAATGTCCAGCACGGTGGAGAGAATTATCATTTGAGAGAAACTACCTTGTGATAGTGAACAAATGTGTAGAGTCTAATATTCCTAACGAGTCTCCTAAAGAGACAATGACATGCATATTTTTAGGGAGCAGTGATGAAATCTGACCAGTTTATTATGTTTATTATGTTTATGTTTTCCTAATTGCAATGACTTTCCAAAATAGTCATCATGGAAACTTCCCTAAAACCAACACTTACCCTCTGTGTGTTCCCAGAAGAGTGCGGGCCGGGTGCGAGAGGGGCAGGGACGCTGTGGGTAGCAGGTGACGGGGGGTGGGGGGGTGGAGAGCGTAGCCCCCGGTCTGGCTGTCTGGGAAGCACAGCTCCCTCACACCAGCTGGGGAGGCTGGGCTGGGCGAGCTCTGTGGCCCGCGAGCAATGCGGCTGATGCAGCAGGTGCAGCCTCTGTTTATCTGCTTTGGAGCCGATCCTGAGGTTCCCAGACCTCTGTGTTTGTTTCCCTTCAGTGACAGAAATCGTGGGTTCGAAGCAAAGGAGGATTGTGGGAATTGTGATTCAGATGTTCTTCACTCTGGGAATCATCATCCTCCCGGGAATTGCCTACTTCATCCCCAACTGGCAGGGCATCCAGCTGGCCATCACGCTGCCCAACTTCCTCTTCCTCCTCTACTACTGGTAACAGGGCTTTCCTCATTACCAAGTTTATGCTTGATCCATGGCCATGTAGACGCTACGCTTCTAGGGCAACGTGAACATGAAAACCATTCGGGGATTGTGCCTGACATCTCCAGAACAGCGACGGGCATTGAGAATTTCTAGAGAACTTGAAAATTTATAGAGATTATTCATTGATTACTTGACTAATAGTTGTTACTAAACTAAATTAATGAAATAGCAAAATACAAATTATATTTAATTTTGTAATATCTTCATGAAAACTACAAGGCAAAAACAAACAAACACATATCTGCCAGTAAGTATTTCAACACAAAATAAATGCAATGAAATTGATTTGCTCCCCTGTATATTCTATGAAGCAAATTAATGTTGCTCAGAAATCCTCTGAGGAATGAGGAAATGTTAAGAGCATGAGAAACGTCACCAGAAAGCTGCAGGTCTATGCATTTGACTCTGAGTGCAGTGAATCTGCTTTAATCGTTTCTCTCACTTTGACCCATGGTCACATCTGTTTACATAATTTGAGTTTTTAGCCGTGTCCCGAATGCTCACTAAATCCCAGCTCTTTCCATGAGTAACAGGGGACACTGGATTCCAGGGGCGCCTGGCCTTGTGAGAGTGACGTAATACATCACTGTGTTTATCAAGGGCAGCGATCCCGCTATCGAGTGGGCATCTTTTCCTTCCACAATAAACCTGCAGAGATCACCTGTGTGCGTGAGAATCTTCTAAACTCGAAGATTCTCCTACATTTGCATCGAATGGAAAGACCCATTTTGATAGAGAAACTCGAGTCATAAAAGTCTAGGTTTTGGAATTCCCACTCGTAACTCAGAAATGCTTTCTCCTTCCAGGGCGGTTCCTGAGTCTCCCCGCTGGCTGGTGACTCGGAAGAAAGGAGACGAGGCCCTAAAGATTCTGCGGAGCATTGCCAAGTGCAACGGGAAGTACCTCTCGCCCAGCTTCTCGGAGGTACTGATACCTGTCACTAAGACAGCTGTGGTTAAAGGGGTGAGCTCGTCACTGAGGCGCGTGCTACCAAACCCCTCAGTCATGTTTAGTTCGGCTATGAGAAAAGAAAACCGTGGCGAGAATCAGGAGGTGCGTTAAAGCAGAAATGTCTGAGAAGTTGAGTAGCATTGTGTTGAGGTTCACTGGTCATTTAGTCCACACGTCCATAGATGCGCCAGGCTACTTGAATTGCTATACTCGGCCTACTGTACAGGCGCCATTGCATTGAAGCATTCATTCATCGTCATTGAACAAACTACAAATCTTTGCTGGACGTTCAGTTTAGTCTATAGATGTGTCTTTGCCTTTAGTCTCGGAAGTGCTGTGGGTTTGAACCAGAGCTTGAACAAGAACGTAATACTTCGGCCTTCAAAAGTACATATGCTGGCTGCCCTGCCTTACCCGCTCCTGCTCCCTCCCTCCCTCCATCTCTCTCTTCCTTCCTTCTTTCTTATTTGCTTCCTCCAGCTAAGGCTTTTGGGTACCGCTGTATCGCTGCTCTAAGAGAAATGGGGGGGATTAAAAGCTCATTACTTGTCCTCAGGAAGGTCTGATGTGCAGTTGAAGACACACACATGTGTTTGGAGCACCCCTGAATAATTAGGGGACAGTATATGACATAGGTGACCATGCTGTGTTGCAGAGACGAAAGTGAATGCAGAATAACAGGAGGGTTATTATGAAAGGAGTCTTAGAGAAGAGTTTGGGGCAGATATGAATCGTGGACGCAGCCCTTTAAGAACATGAGGTTGCTAACATTGCTTTCTTCGTAGCATCTAGTTTGTTTTGATAGAAGCGTTCTGGTGAAACTCGAGGTTCTGTTGGTTCTAGCGCTGCCTCTCCGGCCCCCGGAGCTTGCTCAGATATGGTATCTGGGTTTCTGCCATCTCCTCTCGCCCTCACATTAGCCTGCAAGCAGTGGACTCTGTTTACGAGGGTTCCAGTGACCACCTGTCCTATTGGAAGCAGATTAATGATGGGCCATGAGGCTCACAGATCATAAAGTACGCGGTAAAGACAAGACATCGCCTGTGTTAGCCACTGAGACGAGTCGATCCCTGTTACTCTTGGAGCACAGTTAAGCTGGGTCTTCCCGCTCAGCTCCTCTCAGCACACTAGCTAGCCGTCTTCACAGCTGGCTCCGATGTGTGATCATTTGTACTCAATCTATGAGTCAAATGAGTATTTTTGCTCTCCTTTCAGCAGTACCGTGAAGACATTGCACGTGTCGTCCCAAAGCTAAGCCCATGTAAGCACTAAATCAAGGTTTTGAAAATACACATCACCCGGGCATGTCCCGTGTTATCATGAGAATCACTAAGAGGCCAGGGGGCGGTTCCCTGGGCAGTTGCTGTAACACATCCTGTGAGTGTCCAGTTCAGGCCACTCCCGTGGACCCCCCTGCCCGCTTTGAATCCATGTGCACCATAGACATCAGTGCGGCTGATGCAGAGCTGGCCTAGAGGGTGGCCGCTCCGTATTCCCCTCGTCACAGGAGCCCTGCCGACCTCCCCGCCCCTGCCTGTTCCATCGCTGGCACCAGGAGTCCTGGTTTATCTTAGGGGTACCGGAGGACTAGCTAAAGTGACCCAACGATGCGCCATACTACAGAGGACACCCTAAATTCACTACACACTGGGGCTACCGACCCACTGGGCTTCAGTGAAGGGAAGGAAGATGTGGGAAATGTGGAGAGTTCAGAAGTAACCAAAGAAAAGTTGATGCCTCACTTTAGTAATCAGCAATGACTAACTAATCGCAGGCAGTAATTACTAAAAGGTTATTGTCAAACACCAGAGAGGCAGCTGCAAAAGGGAGCCCTCAAATCAACGTGAAACGAGGCTCGGGGTACATTGTTATAAGACAGCTTAGACAGTGAGAAGGCCGCCCGGTTTGTGCTGCCATGTCCATGCCTGTGCTTCGCAGAGATGGGCTAGAATATTACATTTTCTAAAAATGATAGGGAATCGGTCAGTAGTTATGACGTGTCAACCTTAGGAAACAGTTCCCGTTTTGCTTATAATTTCCAGAAGGATAAGCAAGAAATGACTCAGGTCAAGTCAGCCTTGCGGAATCATCTAAGTAAAGCTTAGTTTGGATGATAAACTGGTTTTATCTGCTCAGGGGTTTTCCGGGCTGATCTTTGTCTTTCATTTTAGCAGAAGGAATTGGGACAATGTGGGATTCGATCTAGCATTCAGCCAGGTAGATCATTCTGAGAGGTGGCCGGCCTGCAGATCAGACCCGTTGTGTTTCACCTGGCCTCCCTCCTTTCTTGGGGGAATCCCCGCTGGCTCTCTGGCTCACTGACCCCTCGGCTTTCATGTGCCGAAGTTCCTGGCTGGCCTCGGACTGGTGAAGAGACCACCAGCCGGTAGACATCCAGGCGATCAGAAGGTCGGGCTCTCCGGATATACCAATAGTGCAGCTGTGACTCACAGCAAAGAAAAGCCTCAGGTCAAAAACCAGTGCAGCCCAGCTGGCGTGGCTCAGGGGTTGAGCACTGATCCATGAGCCAAGAGGTCACCAGTTCAATTCCCGGTCAGGGCACATTCCTGGGTTGCGGGCTTGATCCCCAGTCAGGGGCGTGCAGGAGGCAGCCGATCAGTGATTCTCTCTCACGTTGATGTTTCTCTCTCCCCCTCGTCCTTCCTCTTTATAAAAAATCAATGCAAACAAGGCAAGTGGGTTGAGCTCAGGAAGTT